CTCATGAGGGGCTTACTTGGAGCCCGAAAGAACCCCGCTGGAGCCTTTCGGGTGGCGAAGAACAGGCCTCTGAAACTCCTTCCGCCCGTCCACCCTGCATCGGAGTTTTAGACAAATTAAAGGAGTTCCAAAAGCAAGAAGCTGCTTCAAGTAGGATCCTGTGCAGAATTTGCCTCCCAACTTCAAGAAGCCCTAAGTGGCCCTAAACCAAAAGAAACCCTCCGAAATCGTCTCTGCAGGACATCTTCGGATATACGCCTAAATCTCTGGCTGCCGACTGTGGGCACACGAAGATCGTGGAGGCTTGGGGCTCTCTGCTCCCAACTCTCCTGGGTCAAAATCTAAGAGCTTGGAGTTTCTTGTTAATATTATGTGTGTATATATATATATATCATATATGTATATATATATATATATATATATCATGTATATATATATATATATGCGTATGTGAGTGTGTATATATATATATATATATATACAGTATATATGTAGACTCTAGGGTTTGGATATAGAGGTTTCGCAGTTTGGTGTTTAGGGTGTGTCGCAGGTGTGAGGGAACGTGGAATTAAGTCTCTGTGGAAAGGTGACTGGGCCTTCTGTTACTCCGGGTCTCAGGGGTTCTTGGCTTGGTCCATGGGATGCCGGCTCTGAAACAGGCAACCCCGAACGCACCGAAACCTTAAATGTAGCCTCTCTAGACCCTAAACCCGAAGCCCTAAACCCAAAGCCCTAAACCCTAAACTATAAGCCGCTTATAGCATAAGTATATGGTATGCCAAGACCGGGCCTGAGGCCATCCAGGAGGCACTGACTGCGAAAGAGGGCGACGACGAGGAAGAAGAGCCCGACGAGGACCGCCGAAGCAGTCAACCTCCGAATATCCCCAACAGCGAGCCCTAAACCCTAAACCCTAAACCTTAAACCCTAAACCCTAAACTCCTAAACCCCTCTAGACCTTGAACCCTAAACCCTAAAACCCTACACTCCTTAAATCCTAGACCCTAAACCTTAAACCCTAAACCCTAAACCCCTACAAACCTTAAACCCTAAAGCCCTATAAACCTTAAACCCTAAACCCCTATAGACGTTAAGCCCTAAAGCCATACAACCCTTAAGCTCGAGACCCTAAACCTTAAACCCTAAACCGTAAACCCCTCTAAACCCTAAGCCCCAAACCCTAAACCCCAAGCCGTAAACCCGAAACTTTTAAACCCCCCAACCCGAAGCCCTAAACCCCAAACCCTAAACTCCAAACCCTAAACCCCAAACCCTAAAGCCCAAACCCTAAACCCCTAACCCTAAACCCCAAACCCTAAACCCCAAACCGCGAACCCGAAACCCTTAAGCCCGCAAACCCTAAACCCCAAACCCCCAAACCCTAAACCCCCAACCCTAAACCCAAACCCGAAACGCCAAACCCTAAACCCCAAACCCTGAACCCCAAACCCGGAAGTCCCCAAACCCTAAACCCCAAACCCTGAACCCCAAACCCTTAAGCCCCCCAGCCCGAAACCCTAAACCCCAAACCCTAAACCCCAAACCCCGAACCCCAACCCCTTAAGCCCGCAAACCCTAAACCCCAAACCCCCAAACCGTCAACCCCCAACCCTAAACCCCAAGCCTCTGAACCCCAAGCCCTAAACCCCAAACCCTAAACCCAAACCCTAAACCCCAAACCCCAAACCATTCAGCCCCCAAACCCTAAGCCCTAAACCCCAAGCCCTAAACCCCAAGCCCCTAAACCCTAAACCTAAACCCCAAACCCTAACGCCCTAAACCCTAAACCCTGAACCCCAAACCCTGAAGGAGCCCTCACGGCCCGCATCGCCGGAGGCAGCGCCGGCGGAGGGCGGCTTGGAAAGCCAGGAAGCGGGGGTTTAGGGTTTAGGGGTTTAGGGTTTAGGTTTTAGGGTTTAGGGGTTTAGGATTTAGTTTTTAAGGTTTAAAGAATAGGGGCCTAAGTGATTACCTATACTATTTTGGGGGTTCCTTATTTAGTTATTCTAATTATTCAGGCCCCTACATTAGGGTTTAAGGCATCGGGTTTAGGGTTTTACGGTTTAGGAGCTTACCTATAGTCTCCATTGTAGTTCCTTTTTTTGGTTTAACCAAGTACATATCGAGGATTTTATAAGGTATCCCAAAAAAGAACTACAATGGAGACTAGAGGTAGGGTTTAGGACTTTAAGGTATCGGGTTTAGGTTTTTCCGGCTTTACGGTTGACAGTTTGGGGTTTAGGGTTTAGGGAGGGGTGTATGGCTTCTAGGGGTCTCATGGTGTTTTTGAGTTGTCGTTTGGGCTTGGATTTGGAGCTTGACTTGTCGGCTTGAGCCATGGCTCAACATATCGCAAGAAGCGGGTTTCAGCAGAGTCCTTGGGCGCAAGAAGGCTCAGGAATCTGAATCCCTAAACCGCACAGCCCGAAAGAACTCACGTCCTAAAGCTCCGAAATGCTAAACCCTGGGCCTTACCCTAAACAACCCTAAGCCCCAAACCCTAAACCCTGAACCCCCTAAGCGGAGCCCTGGAGCCAGAAAACCCCGCAGTTTAGGCTTAGGGTTTAGGGAATAGGGTTTAGGGTTAGATAGTAGGATTTTTTCGAATTGTAGGGTTTTGAATGTACTAGGGTTTAGGGCTTAGGGTTTTGAATAGTTTCGACAAGTAGTAGGGTGTAAAATATACAAGGGTTTAGGGTTTAGAACATACCTATTGTAGAACTATTAACAGGAACTCTTAAAGGAACCCCTTTAAGGAACCTTATAAAGGTGCCCTTAAAGGAACCCTTAAGGGAATCCTTATAGGAAGTACGGGGCATTGAGCTCTCTGGACGATAAACCCTAAACCCGGCCTTTCTAAGGTGACCTCGGCGAGGGTGAGGCTACACCTGCCTTAGGGGAGGTCCTGGCGGAGAAAGAGCCATCCTAATCCTTCAGAAAACCCGTGAAAAAGCTTCTAAACCCTATGAAAACCTCAAAGCCCTAAACCCTAAAAGGGCTCAGAGAAGCTCCAATAGCGCTTGGACTTTATCCTTGAGCCTGAAGCCCAACACGTTACACAACCCGATAGAACCCACATTGCAATCTTATTCAACCCCCTGCTAAACCCTCAAACAACTTGCGCAAATTCCCATCAAACAGCCTGCAAGCATTTTGTCAAACATCCCATCAAAGCAACCTGCTAGAACGTTGTACTGCCCTACAGAAACCATAAAGCAAACACCTTACACCCTAACCCTTAAAAACCTAAACCCTAAACAGCCAACACACCCGGCAGCTTCCGCGAAGATCGTGGAATGCTGTTGAATTCAAGCCTCGCTTCGGCTGGGTGCTGTGAAAGGTCAGTGCTTGCATCTAAGAAGGGGTCCTCCAAGGATTCAGGGCCTACCTGTAGTCTCCATTGTAGTTCTTTCTTTTGGTTTAGCCAATTATATATTTAGGATCTTATAAGGTATCCCCCAAAAAAGAACTACAATGGAAATAGGTATAGAGTTCAGGTTTCAGGGTTCCTTTAAAGGGTTTAGGGTCGAGGGTTTAGTGTTCAGGGTTCCTTTGAGGGTTTCTGTAGGGCTTCAAGGTTCTTAGGTTTCGTGTTCAGGGTTCCTTTTAGCTTTAAGGGTGCCTTGAAGGGTTTAGGGTCCGGGGTTCAGCGATCCTCGAGGTTCTATAAGGGTTTCTAACTCAAGGTGTTCTAGAGGGGGCTCTAGAAGGTGCTTGGACGTGTTCTACAGTTTGCAGAGTTTTGTTTTTGGAGTTTCCTTGTTTATGGATGTGGAATTTAGGGTGTATGCGGATGTATGCGGTTTACGTTCTTTGTTTTAGGGTTTAGGGTGTGGGATTCGGGTTTTGCGGGGCTGTAGTGTCTGTACGGTTTACGATTTTGGAATTAGGGGCTTGGGCTTTGGATTCGGGTTGCCGATGCAGGAGTGAGGGCAAACCCTAAACCCTAAACCCGACTGAGGGTTCAGGCTTTAGACCCCAAGCCCTAAACCTAAACCTCAGATTCGGATCCGCTTTGGGGGCCTTTCAGAATATCGGGGACCTTCATATACACCTAAAACAACGGCGTTTAGGGTTTAGGGATATAGGGGTTTAGGGGTTTAGGGTTTAGGGTTTAGGGTTACGGCATTAGAAGGACACTCTGTGTGTGTGTCCTTGCTATTGAAAGTCTTGATGTATGCGAGTGATTGTCAGCCAGCGTCAGGACCCGGAGGGTTAGCAGACTATGCCAGCACCCCCCGAAGGGCCCTCTACTAGAGACCTTATGGTCCTTAATAGTGGGTATTTGGGGGGTCTGGTAGAGGGTAGTTCGGGGGTGTATGTACCTAATTACCTACAGTCTCCATTGTAGGTCCTTTGTGGGGATACCTTATAAAATCCTAATACATAATTGGTTAAACCAAAGGAACTACAATGGAGACTATAGGTATGATGCAGTCTTCAGGTTTTTCGGTTTAGGGTCTTCGGGGTTCAGGAGACCAGGTCTTTTGCATTTAGGCTTGAAGTGAAGGCCTGTCGAGTTAGGGGTTTAGGGTGTAGGGTGTAGGGTTTAGGGTGTAGGGTTTAGGGTTTAGGGTTAGGATTCAGGGTCCCAGTGGAATCTACGGTAAAGGCGGTAGGCATGTATTCAGAACGGGGGGGAGGGCGGGGGCCGTGCATGGTGTTGGGATGTGAAGAACTTGTCAAGACCAGGCTTGCTGCATGCAAGGGTTCAGGATGTCAGGATTACACTGTGGGTCCAAGTACACGAACCGCATACTGCACGCCAGCGGGTGCCAAAGTAGAACCCCGATTTACGCACCTGTAGCATACTCTACTATACTTTGACATACTATGTAGGTAGCTGGAGCTTCAGAGCTATCCTGAACTCTTAGGGTTTAGGGTTTAGGGTTCAGGGTTTAGGGTTTAGGGGAACCCCGACCCTCCAGACCCCAAACTTCTGGGTTCACTCTTGTGTAGTTCCATTTGCACGTGCCTGATACTTCTTCTGGCGGCCATGGATGATGTGGCAGTTCCCCGTCCATCTCGCCGTTTGCTACGTCTGGGCCCCAGACCCCAGGTAATTGGGTTGAGGTTTCTAAGGGGCTGGTCCAGGGACTTGAATAATATAAGAGCCTAAAGAATTGCCAATGCTATTTGTTGGGGGGTTCCTTATTATAACGATAGTATATTGGGCCTCAAAACCTTATTCTAATTATTTAGGCCCCTGCATTAAACAAACCTGCGATAAACGTTTCGGGGTTTCGGCTTGGGGGTTTGATTCCCAAGCCCCCACGAGCTGTCCTTCCTGCAAGCAGACTCGACATGTGACACACCCAAGTAACACCTCCAATCCCTGTCATACAAATCTCGTTATTGCTATTCTCCGGTTTGAAAAATCTTGCATGTTTATTGAGGGCGACTGCTATCGCCATTGCTTCAATTGTTATGTTCGTCTGAAGCAATATACAGCCTTATTTTCCCGGAGATTTATTTCCTGTATCATGTGCCACTGCACCGGAAGCCAACTCGGAATGCCACTTGAAGGAAGAATGCCCTAAACCCTAAACCCTAGTCGCGTAGGGCAGACAGAAAAGGCGTTCGAACAAAAACCGTAGTCGTCCTTGTTCGGGGGTGTGGGGCCTAAGGGTTTCGGAGATAGGTGTTTAGGGCTCGGGGTAAGTAGGTTCGGGATCTTGCGGATAGCAGGGCCCTCATGAAAGACGGATCCAGGGTTCGGTTTAGCGGTCCCATGAAAGGATCTAGGGTCCCAATATGGCCCTTCTGAACGAACCATATCTGTTTTGGGTTTTTTCGTCAAGTGGATAGTAGCTGGCAAACCCTCAAGGTCCCAAACTACATACTACACCCTAAACCCGAAACCCTCTCGAAACTCCCTAAACCCTAAACCCTAAAATCCCTAAAATCCCTAAACCCCAGAATCCCTGACGCCTAAACCCTGAAGCCCCTAAACCCTAAACCCTAAACCCTAAAACCTAAACCCTAAACCCTGAAACCCAAAGCCCTAAACCCTAAACTCTAAAAGCTAAACCCTGAAGCCCCTAAACCCTAAACCCGAAAACCTGGAGGTTCTGACCCCGCAGGTGCTGGCCGAGAGGTGGCTGTGCCCGTTTTGGTGTTTTAGGGTTTAGGGTTTAGGGTTTAGGGTCTGGGGTTTAGGGTTTAGGGTTTAGGGTTCAGGGTTTGGGGTTTGGGGTTTGGGGTTTGGGGTCTGGAGCCATACCTGTTGCCGAAAGAACCTACCTTTTCAGGGTTCCTTATTATGGTTTCTATATATATATATATAATATATATATATATAGTTCTTAAAAAAAAGGTAGGTTTTCTGGGCCACAGGTAGGGTTCAGTGTTTACGGTTCAAGGCTTTAGATTATGATTGTTAGCGGCTTTAGTTTTCAGTCTGGGGGTTGAGGGCTTGGTGGTGCGAGGTTTGTTTGAGGGTTTAGGGTTTAGGGTTTAGGGTTTAGGGTTTAGGGTTTAGGGTTTAGGGAGGTTGAGGGAGTATGGATACCTCGACGTCCATCTGCAAGGACAGCCATGAGACAGCTGGCAGCATCATGCCCGTTCTGGGCTGAATGTAGCAGCTGTGTCGCTGCACTAGGTTTGCCCTAAACCCTAAACCCTAAATCCTAAACCTTAAATCCTAAACCCTAAACCCTAAACCCCTAAACCCCAAAACCCCAAAACCCTTAAACCCTAAACCCTAAACCGCATCATGTTCCCCATGAGGACCAGCTCGTAGGCAGTATTCATCCCGAAGCATCACCACACGCCCAGAGCCTGCATCCAACACAAGAGCGCCAGTCCTTCCGATTACCCCATTCATCCACGAAGGAAGGGGCACAGCTGGGTTCCATGAGCATTAAAGAGCATATCTATATACCTATGTATATATATATATATGTACATACACATACATACATATAATATATATATATATATAGTTGGTTAAAGGATGTTATTACAGGTCCATAGTATACAGAGAAACAGAGAGAGAGAGAGAGAGAGAGACAGAGCAACCATCGCGCCAACGACCACAACCGCGACGGCCGCCAGAACTTGAAGGACCCCCGGATGCAGTTCTGAATGCACTGCCGTCTGTCGGCCGATTGCAAGAAAGGCAGTGAAAGCACATGAGCTATCTGGTGCATCCTGTTGCATTTAGTTCTCAGAGTCTCCCGGGAAGCAGTTCAGAATATTTAGTATCTACGGCACACAGGCATGCTGCCTTGCACGACCATTCTCGCATTGCTGGTGCTCGCTCAACTGTTGAACTATTTGGTGCAGCTGTCGCGCGTAGAAGCCTCGACTGCCGGAGACACTTCCATCAAGATGTGGCAAAGGCATCAGAATGAGGAGCTGCCTGAACAGGTTCACATCAGAATACTCTCAACCCTACACCTTTGCATCCTAAACCCTTAAACCCCAACCTAAACCCTTAACCCTGAACAGGTTCGAGGCATCCTGTGGATGAAGGGCAACACATGCCCCGAGCTTCAACTGACGATGGAGGCTGGATCCTATGATAAGACCAGTCGAAGGCTTCTCCTGCCGTTCGGCACCGCGTATAGCTGGTCCTATAACTCGGATCTCGCCGGTTGGTTGGAGTATGCAGCCGTGACCTTAAACCTTGCTTTCTTGAGTCCCGGAAAGCTGAGGGTAGACTTCGACGAAGACTTTACATCTGCCACGATGCAGATCACCTTCGCAGGCATCAGCCTAGCAGAGGTCGCGGGACTCTGGGCTTTGAACCGGACAGATGATTCAGGAGACTTCTGGAACCGAATGCAATGGAATGATTCCGAAAGGAAGTGGGAGCTTGTTTATGACATCAAGAAGGCTCTGGGCGCTGATGGAGTAAAGTTGCCAGCATGGTCGCAAATGGTTCAATCTGTGCGGTCTGGAGTTGTGGTACATGGCAAAGGGTGTGGCTCCTCCATGATCAAGACCGATGCACAGCTTGTGCACGGAGGTTTCTTGATGCGCCAAGTTCTGTTGACAATCCTCTTCAGTGCCTTGTGGTTGATATTGGTTGGGCACTGCCTCCAACGAAGTGACGCAAAGGCCCCATCGGCAGAAGTCCAGCCGCTTGTGTACGAGCCGTGTCACACCACGGAGCCACTACCCATGTTGTTGGGGCCTACATCTGGGCCTCAGTCATCCCCAGCAGACCGTTTGTGTATGCCGGAGAAAGATCTGCTTGAACCCCTGGAGCGCGCAAATGTGTGACACAGAGGTTCCTAAGCCTAAACCCTAAACCCTAAACCCTAACCCCTAAACCCTAAACCCTGAACCCCTATCCCAGGCGCATGTACAGGCGCAGGTTTCCCTGCGCACAGTCTTCCAGAAGCCTGGCCGCTTTGAAGACGCTGTGCTCACAGGCGTACTCCGAAGAAACAGGAACTGCCGCAGCTACCACGAAAGCTGAGACTGTAGCGCTATCGCCTGTGTAAAGATGGCACGCATAATTACTGATGCGAAGCATCTGCTTAGTCCCTCGATCTTTCGAGGTTATTGAGGAGCAAGGGGTTCAAAAGAACAATTCGGTGTCAGAGCTTTACAACTGATGCGAGCCAGATCCCTATCCCAGCTTGTGTCACACATCCCGTATGCGAGGAGATCGCAGCTACATGCATCCTGAACAGCTACAGCAGCTGGCACCCTGCACCGATCATCGTCTGCCTGGGCAAGTGTCTTGGGTGGGACATGTCAATGTATGTGGCCTGTTCTCGTTTACCGCACCCCAGGGCCTCTATCTTACCACACAGTAGCAAGCACTAAATTCTAAGCTTACCAAGCCCGTACAGACGATTTAGAATAATCAAGAAACAGGTACAAACCATCATACATAATAAGGGTTCTTTTCCAACAAGTTGTTTCTCGTGGCGGTTACAAATCATCTCCTCTTCCAAAAACTACCATGTCGTGCGTGTTGTGCTTAAACTAAACAGATAAAAGCACGCATGCATGTGTCTTTTGCTTCTTACTCAAACAACACATTTTCTTCACACAGTTATAGGAGCGGTTACATACTGTGCCTGGTGATTTCGGCCATCATTTTCCTGGTATTGCCTGGTGCAGCCTCTTCATTACATTACACTCGTTCTCTGGTGGCTGAAGAAAGCACCAAAACAAGAACTGAAAGAGCGACAGAGCGTCGTTCGCTCAGTCATTTGCTTTGTTTGGTTCTTTCGCTGGACTTGGAGGTCGTTCTTTAATGGTGTAGGTGTTCTATCCCCTGCAAAGCCGGTTGGGTCTAGGGACAAAGGGTAGCATGAAGAGAATGAAACGGGAGAAGAAGGTAGGCTAGTGCACGCTTTTCTCTGTTCACCTCACTCGACTTTGTTTTGTCCTTTTCGTTGTTTTGCTCATCCTCTCCGTTGGCTCGTTTGCGTTTCATTTGTGACTTTGTTTCGGGCTTTCGTTCATTTCTTTCTCTTCATTGCAACGAAGGCCACAACAAATGAAACAAGAGCCAAATAAAGAGAATGAACGACTGATAGGTTCGACAAGTGGGACTTTCCGAAAATTAGGGTACCTTATTTTGGGGTCCTTATAATAAGGAACCTATTATTTAGGGTACTATATTAGGGTCCCCTATTTTTGGAAACCCCCAAGTGACTGGCCATTACATGACAGAAGGCAACCATTAGGTTTAGGTCTTTCAGGGGTTGTATGTGTTGTGTCCACAAGAACAAAGTTAAATCAATAAATACAAGTGAACCGTGTGATTAATTCATTTTCAAGAGATCTTGTTACACAACAGGGAACAGCACGAAATACAAGGAAAAGGACTGCGTGCTTTCTCTCCATGCGCTTACCACTTCGTTCCTTTGTTTTGTTCTTTTCACCACATCTGCCACATCGCAGATACCGTTGTGAAGAAAAGGAGAGAAGCACCAACTAAACATACGAATGCATGGTGTATGTCGTGTTTCATCTGTTCATTCTTTTGTTTGCTCGTGTTTTAATCAAACGAAAAGAATGAACATGCCCTCCATTTCTTTCATTTCTTTTCATTCAATTTATCAACGCGCTCACGGTACATCTGTATTTTTAGGGCAACGGCCGAATTTAATTGTGTAAAGCTTGCGTTTCGTTTCACTCACCTACCTTCACAACTTAAATTAGGCGAAAAAGGGTCAGATTCTAGGAACAGCCACAACACCAGTTTTCCAAGTGTGTGAGTCGTTCACTTATCTCCTTTATCTTGTCTTCTAATAATTACATGTCTTGTTTCGTGCGCCTGTGTTGCATTTAAATGAAGTAAACACGCATTACACTTTGTTTGTTTGCTTTACTTCATTGAAATATAGAACACTATGCTCTGAGCTGTTCCTATTGTATTCTACAGCCTCTTATCGATATGGGGGCGACGACACAAGCGGAGATTTCCCAAATTTCCTTGAACATACCAGCAGCTGCACTCGCTGAAACCTCCAGCGTGAAATGTCATGAGGCCCAGGCTTTGGGTTGAGGGAATACAGTAGGCTTTGCGATAAACCTCCACGCCTGCTAAGCCTGACGGGCCAAGACAGCTCTTATCTTCAGCCAGACGCCTCGACAGCGACAATCGCAAAACCGTATAGTGAAAACTCCATCATCTTGGTTTTGATGCAACAAGGCCTGTCGAATTCTTCTTTCCATAGGCAGAACAAGTGGCAGTGTGGACAGTCAGTGGGAAATACTTGCCCTAAGGGTACAGTACCCATTATTTAAGGACTTTGGGGCCTTTTTTGTATCTAAAACCCTAAATAAGGACTACTTGGACCCTTAGGGTTGTTGTTCTAAGGACAATGGCAGAAAAGTAGCCCTAGCCATGATACTCCAGACTCCAGGTTCGGTCTTACCTATAGTCTCCATTGTCGTTCCTTATTTGGGGGTACCTTACAAAAATCCTTAGTATAGAACTGGTTAAACCAAAAAAGGAACTACAATGGAGACTATAGGTACACCCTGATCACTGAACAAAGTAACACATAGAAAATCTAACAGCACGTTACAGGATGGCAGACTACAGCATAATCTTGTTGATATACAATGCCCTAAGGGTCCATGTATTCATATAGTAAATACATTGGCCCCAAAGTACCTATATAGGGACTACTTTAAGGCCAAAGTATCTACTATTTGGGCACATGGACCCTTAGGGATGTATACCGAGAAAAGCCCTACGAGCCTCATCCTGTGGCCCTACCGAAGCCAGATGATCTTGAGATAAAGCTTACCTGGACCCCGAACGTATGTAGGATAATAGGCATTTATGGGCATTGGGCCATTATTGTACCTACTTTGGGGCGTCCGGGTAGGTGTTGCATTAAGGTTTGAAACGGAGGTGTATGGTTTAGGTCTTAAGGTTGGGGTATATAGAGCCTCGGGGCCTCGGGGTTTAGAGTTTAGGACTATTCTAGTGAAGGTCTACATAGATATCGATTGCGGAGCAATAGCACCTTATCAAATTCCCTGTATCTACTTATTCAATAAAATATAGCTTGCCAAAACCGAGCTCTTGGTTTCAGTATTGCCACCGAGCGTGATGCGAGAAGCGATCTCCTGCGCTGGAGATTTTCAGTTTTGGCGCCCTGGGCGTTCCCAGGAAAAGAAGAACCCATAGAAACTTTTCTGACACTTCGCAACACCTACGAAGATCCTACGGAACCCTACACCCAGCATGACCTCAACGAGCCGAGCAATAACAGGACTTCCGCTGTGAAGCTCAAAGGCTACAACATTGATTACAGACAATACCTATAGTCTCCATTGTAGTTCCTTTTTGGGGATACCTTATAAGAATCCTTAGTATATAACTGGCTAAACCAACAAAAGGAACTACAATGGAGACTATGGGTAAACTCCTAAACCCCTAAACCCCTAAACCCTAAACCCCTAAACCCCCAAACCCCTAAACCCTGAACCCCGAAACCCTGAACCCTAAACCCTAAACCCTAAAAGTTAGTAGAGCAACACCCAAGCCGATCCACAAACCGCAGGTACTACAGCCAGCTCAAAAACTTGCGAAGCTCAACTGGCACCTGGGACCGCGACTTTGCGCCCAACCACACCAGCTACCAGGCTGGCTTGGGATGTCAGACCTTGTGTGGTTTACAGTTTACGCGGTAAAATTCAGGCTTTTGGGTACGAGGTTTAGGGTTGAAGGGTTGTGTTTTACCTATAGTCTCCATTGTAGTTCCTTGTTTGGTTTTAACCAATTATATACTAAGGATTTAAAATGTATCCCCAAAAAGGAACTACAATGGAGACTATAGGTACGTTGTAAAAATCAGTGTTTTGGGTAGTTTAGGGTTGAAGGGTTGTGTTTTAGGATATGTGCCGCAACAGCAACAGTGGTTTGCTCCCGAGAGAGGCAGAAGAGCAACTGCAAAATCTCTGAATCCCTAGGGGTCCATGTACTCCTATAGTATATACATTGGCCTTAATGTAGTCCCTATATAGGTACTTTAAGGCCCATGTATATGCTATATGAGTACATGAACCCTTAGGGAATGAGAATGAAGCCAAGACTTGGTTAGAGTCTCCAAGGCTTTCAGAGAGGAAAAAATCCCATCCGTCTAGGAGCTTACAATCCACTGGCTCGAGAGATGTGCGACACCCTAAACCACTTGACCCTAAACCCTAAACCTTAATCCTAAACCCTAACCCTATAAAACGCAAGCCCTTCTAGGTTTTAAACCTTGAACCCCTTAACCCCCAGCCCTGAAGCCTAAACTCACACCCGAAGTCTTTGAGCCTTGGGTTGGTTTGTTGGGGTCTCGGGGTGCCTGGCAGGCCACATACCCCTGGATTGATTTATGATATTAATATAGGGGCCTGAATAATTACCTAAATATTTTGGGTGCTCCTTATTACAACTCTAGTAGAATATACCCCAAAGCCCTTTTCTAAATATTAAGGCTCCTATATGGGGGTTTCCGAAAATAGGGGACCCTAATCCCTATTATAAGGACCCCAAAATAAGGTACCCCTATTTTCGGAAGCTCCTATATGATTCAAACAGCATAGGGATCCTTAACTTCACATTGCGGTGGATACTGCGTAGTCATACCGGACGAAGGGCAGTGAAGGCTGTTTAGGGTTTAGGGTTTAGGGTTTAGGGTTTAGGGCTTAGGGTTTAGGGTTTAGGGTTTAGGGGCTAATTGTGGTTTTGGATTTCGGGGTTTGGATGTACAGTGTAGTGTTTCAGAAAATGTTGCACAAGTTCCCAGATCTCGGAGGAGGCATCTCCTTTTCCGCAGGTCTTCATCGAGAAGTTCGTGGCAGACTTGACAATCGAAGCTGACATCAACTTCGATCGCTACTTGAGCATGGCCCCCAGTTTATTGTGGACACGCGTGGATTGCACGTCATAAAGCTCCCCAAAGCTCCAGAAGTTTCCGGATGGCGAACACAGTACCCGCTTAGGCTCTTGCAGGTGGCACTCTCTCGCTCTGCTGAGGCGCCCCCCATCCACTTGAGCCCCGCTCCTCCAAATCGCCAACCCTGAACCCTAAATTGAATACCCCGAATCTCTAAATCCTGAAGTCTAAACTCTAAACCCCAAACTAAAAAACCCGAATCTCTAAATCCTAAATTCTATTACTCTAAACAACTCTAAACCTTAAATTTAAAAGCCCCAATCTCTAAATGTCCTAAATTCTAAAACCCTAAACCCTACATTACAAAGCCCGAATCTCTAAAGTTCCTAAATCTTAAGATTCTAAAACCGTAAACCCTAAATTACAAAGCCCGAATCTCCAAATGTCCTAAATTCTAAAACCCTAAACCCTAAATTACGAAGCCCGGATCTCCAAACTTCCTAAATTCTAAAAACCCCAAACCCCAAGGTCCGGACTACTACCCAGTCATCACAGTGACTTCGCCTCAGCTTCTCCTGACCTCCTGGATGCACCGCACCGCAGGTTCCTTTACAAGTTACATTACCCTAAGGGTCCATGTATTCATATAGTAAATACATTGCCCCCAAAGTACCTATATAGGGACTACTTTAAAGCCAAGGTATCTACTGTTTGGGTACATGGACCCTTAGGGTTAGCCACGCCCGCAACACCCGGATTCCTAAACTGCGACCAAGCCAAACTCTGGCTCTGTGTAGGGGTTTGGGGATGAGGGATTAGGGTTTAGGGATTGGGCTTAGGGTTTAGGGACTATGGTTTAGGGTTTCAGGATTAGGGTTTATGGTTTAGGGATTAGGGTTTAGGGATTAGGGTTTAGGGCTATTTCAGCCAATCTTCCGACCCCGAAAATGGCTCCATTAAGGTATCTGTATTCGTTATGGGGCGTCGAGGGCTAAAACCCCAACCCTAATCCCTAAACCCTAGAAGCCCTAAGCCCGAAGTCCTACACCCTTAACTATTGCTCTTCCTGATCGGCTTTACCAATTGGGGTTTAGGGTTTCAGGGATTAGGCTTTTAGGGCCTAATTTTAGGGATTAGGGAACATTTATACTGTAACTGTGTAGGTTGAGGGCCAAATTGTAGGGCTTAGGGTATATAGTTATACTGGAACTCTAACTAGGAGCCCGAAGGAATAACTATAGGACTTCCCCAAGCCGCTAGACCGTCAAATCCCTAGTGCTAACCGTGACGATATCCCCGTAGAGTCCCTATTAAAAGTAGACTTATGTACCTCAAAGCCCTTATGCAATTCGTTGCATTGTAAAGGCCCCTATATCAGCACAGGGCCCTAATTCCTGCTACAACTCGAAATCTCCAGTTCGGGGCACGTTCTCCACTTGAACTTACCATATGGTCCTACACAAGTGGTTCATGCGTGGTCCAATTTCTGGACTTTTTAAACTAACTACCGGCCCATAGAATCCGAATCCCGATCCCCGCAGATTTATTGTTCTGCTCCTTTCAGGGCTGGTGCAGCCGTGCCGTATACGGCAGCCTCTCTGCTGCAGCGAGGTGCCGGTGTGATGTAGAACCCCCTAAAAGCCTTTATGAAAACTCTTTCCCCCCAAATAGGTGCCTTCGGCTCCCTCGAGACTGCCACCTAAATCATGGCTCTATGGCTTCGGGTGTCGGTCTTTGCAAGAGCTTCCAGCTTGCAGTAGCATGGGGGCACATGTTGAACGTACTGAGGTTCCCCGATAACAATCAGGCTGTCCGCACGACTCAAACTTGTGTTTGCTTTTTTTAGTGGCCGAAGAAATGCCTGTAGAATATGCTTGTAGAAGCACCCCTTCTAATTTGATCCTGAAGGCACGATCCCGTATGCTCTACCTGTACCGGGCGAACATCCTTTCCCCTAAGCCCCGTATGTTCACGGACTTGGATCAGCGAATATAGGGGCCTAAATAATTACCCACCCTAGTTTGGGGGGGGTCCTTATATCATGATTATACTATAATCTACCCCAAAAACCCTATTCTAATCATCAAGACCCCTACATTACAGTAATCATACTATAATCTACCCCAAAAAGCTATTCTAATCATTTTAGACCCCTACATTACAGACTCTGCTGGGTCAGGTGGGTTGAGACCGCTAGCCTGGTAAGTCGAAAGCAGAAGTCCCGCTCAGGCGGCAGGCGTCATGTAAAGGGGTTTAGGGTTTAGGGTGTAGACGTCTGAATAATGAAGGATACTATTCCTTCGGGCTGCTTGTATGGGTCAAGTATACTTTGACCCCTAAGCAGGAAATCATTAGTTAAGGCCCTTATATCCGAAATTCGACACCCTAAAACCCTGGCCCTAAACCCTACCTAGAGAGCAACCAACCTTAATTGGGCGGCAGAAAAGGTCCTGTGAGCGCGAGCCTTGAGTCGCATGTCCCGAAGCACAGAGCCAGAAGGTGAGAGATCGCAGAGCCCCCAGCAATCAGTTAAGTGGGTAGGATCACCTGTAACGGGGAAGATGGCCGATTGCCCACTCCCAGTGGGGAAGAGGCAGAAGAACCTGGGAAAGTGATTCATTCCTCCTAAACCCTAAACCCTAAACCGTGGATTCACAGGCAAGCCCGAAAGTCCTAAGCCCTAAACCCAGAATGCTAAGGGTCCATGTGCCCATCTAGTTATGTGCCTTGCCCCTAAAGTAGTCGCGATATAGGTACTTTGGGGCCAAAGTCCCTACTATTTGGGCACATGGGCCCTTAGGGAAAACCCTAAACCCTGACAACACAGAGTGCCAAACTGCTGCTACAGTGCTATGCTAGCTTGTAGAGCAGGAATACCATGCAATATCCACTGCAGCATGCTCAGGAACCTTTTTGCAGGCCATGGTACCCAAGGCCTGAACCTACAACATCCCTGAACTCTCAAGCCCTAAGCCCTATACATGCAAGGTCTGAAACTTGAGTGCAACTCGAAACAGTGCAGCGGGTTTAGGGCTCAGGGTTTTATAGCTCCTTGTTACGAAGACTGTCTATATTTTGTTGAAATGTACAGAGCTTGTGGACGATCGTTAAATCATGACACCTTCCCTTTGAGCAGTCGAATTCTCCCCCAGTATACTGTAGTCCTTGTATAGATCACCTCTCGTACTTGCATTCTTCATAGTCCTTGTCTAACTCTCCGCCAATTAATCCACCCCCCCCCCTCCAAGGAAAAAACTAAACCCTAAACCTAAAGCCTAGTTAAGTCGTGAGGCCCCTAGCTACTCAACCCTAAACCCTAAACCCTAAACCCTAAACCGTCGATATAAAGAGCCCAGGGCAAACCCGCTGTTCACACTCTGGCACTTGGCGGGTGGGGATGCCCAGCTCGGGTTTCGGGCTGCTTGGTTAGGGTTTAGGGTTTAGGGTTTAGAGTTTAGGGGGTTTGGAGTTTGGGGCCCAAGGGCGTAGAGCTAGGTGCTGGCCGAAGTGAAGACAATCTGCTGTTGATGAATTCTACTTCTTTCTGGTTTTTAAGCGGTTTGAATATCTTTTCTCCGCATGATGGCTGGAATACTTCAGGGCTCGGGGTTTTGTCTGCGCGGTTGGCTCTTTAGGGTAGGAAAGCACTCGGGTGGCAATCAAACATACTCGAAAGGAACCTCCTTGAGTTTGATGTTCGAGGCAGCTTATAGATGCTAGAAGTATTCTCATTGACTCACTGTCTGTATGAATACTAGTTGTTGTGGTTGAGATGTTCGTAGATTTGGTTAGTGCTTGTCCCAATTGTCCTGACGGCTTCATTGTTCAGCATCGATACAAGTATCAGTGCCCCTGGCATCACCACTACAACCACCATCATCATCACCATCATCACCATCGTCATCATCATCATCACCATCCTCATCATCGCCATCAACATAATCATCATCATCGTCAGCATCGTCATCACCATAATCATCATCATGAACATCACCATCATCATCAGCAGCAGCAGCACCACCACCACCACCATCATTATCATCATCGTCATCACCATCACCATCACCACCATAGTGTTATGCATAGTTGCAATTACCGGAACATTCTGTGACGTCTCACTACTTGCTGACATAATCGTTGTCATTTCACCTTTGTAAGCCCAACGTATATTCTCTTCGGCATTATCAAGTTCTTCGTTGACACGATCAACCTGTCCATGGCAGTCGTTACTGAACAGTTACTGTTCCTAAGCGGTTAGGTTGTTGTTGGGAATGACATGGATCCTTGTCTCTGCCTTGTGCTAAGCCCTAAACTCTAAACCCTAGGTACTGTTTTAGTTTGGTTTCGCTCGCTCTGTCCTTGAGCCTCCCTTGCAAATTCTTGGCACATCCAGTCAGAGCAACTTCCAGAATGGACACTGCGGACACCGTGCTAATCGGAACAGGGTTTAGGGTTTAGGGTTTAGGGTGGACACTGCCTATGGTTTCCATTGCAGTTCCTTTTCTGGGGTAAAATCCTTAATATATAAGTGGTTAAACCAAAAAAGAGGAACCAATGGAAACTATAGGTGTGCTAATCGGAGCAAGAACCACTACCTTCGACCACGACAGCAACAGCAGCGGCAAGACTGACAGCCACATGAACAGGGCATGAGCAGGGCTTGGCAGGCTCTGAAGAGGTCAGCACTATGTACCTGTACGACGCACGGAGGCAACCAAAAAGAAAGCCTAAACCCTGAGCCCTAGCCAAAGTTTCTCAATTGGGAGCTCATCGGGGGGGCTCAAAACTCGACACACGAAACCTTTGGTTGCCTTGAAGCAGGATTCTACTGCTTAGGGTGTCTCCTTAAACCCGAACCCTGACATAGAATCCTTATACAGATCCCTTCTATATACTCCTTAGCTAACGTAGATAGCCGATCACGGTTCCCTTGAGTTTGAGGCTTTGCCGCTTCGAGCCTTGGGTTCCTTGCGAGTTGGGTTTTTGACAAACCCTAAACCCTAAACCCTAAACCCACTTGAACCCGGCACTGGCAAGCTCCTGTAGGCTGGCCATGGTTGACGACGAATTTCTCGACCGGAACAGCGAACGGAATGGTTTGGAACCCAAGAGGTCGGCTAACGGCCGGCCGAAGCTCTAAGCCCTAAACCATAAGCCCAAAGCCCTAAACCCTGAGCCCTAAACCCTAAGCCCTAAACCCTAAGCCGAAGAGACCGCGAGGAACCCGTCCGAACTTTTGGTGCGCACCATCCCAGTTGCCTTCCTGGCACGCTTTCGCCAAGCCGGTTTTTGTTGGTGGAGAGTTTAGGGTTTACCTGTGGCCCAAAAGACCGACCTCTTTAAGGATATATATATATATATATTTATTTATTTATTCATTTATTTATTTATTTATTTATAAATAGATATATGTATATGTTTTGTTTATATAGAAACCAGAAAGGAACCCTAGGATGGAAGGTCTTTTCGGCTACAGGTAGGGCTTAGAGAGCTTAGGGTCCAATGTAGAAGTACCAGCAGTACCAAGGGTGGGGGTTTAGGGTTTAGGGTTTAGGGTTTAGGGATTGCCTGCAGTATGAAATAGTAGTACACGTCAAACTCCTTCCCACAAAATCCCTAAACCCTAAGTTCTAAACCCTAAACCCCTAAACCCCTAAACCCTAAATCCTTAAATGCCCTCCACAAAATCCTAGCTTCAAGTTCACTAATGTTGGTCTTGGGCTCCTCCAGGGGCCCCTACCCCCTGCAGCATTTCCAAGGACTGTTCGGGAGCCGGCTCCTGCCGGGTTTCTGTTTGGAGCCCGACAGAGGCTCTAGGGATACCTATAGTCTCCATTGTAGTTCCTGCTTTTGGTTAACCAATTATATATTATGGATTCTACAAGGTATCCCCCAAAAAGGAACTAGAATGGAGACTATAGGTATTATAGGTAAGAGTATGACTATAGAGAGGCTAATTGTTGGGGGGAACTCATACTTCTGGTCGCAGTTTTTGCCGCGCCCCATTGTCACATTATAGCACCAGGACTTACCCTGTGAACGTGCGCTTTAATTGCGGCCGTGCTCGGTGTCACGTGCAGTGCTACGGCGAGAGCGGCTGCTGTTCCTGTGACCACTCCTGCCGCTGCTCCTACTGCTGCTGCGTCTGCTCATGCTCCTGCTCCTGCTGCTGCTGCTCTTGCTCTACTCCTACTTCTACTCCGTCTCTACCACGACCACCACACCCCTACCATCCCTGCTGCTGAGAACTCGATGTAAGGAAGTGACACCTCCCGAGAAGTTTGGCCCAGGGACGGGACATGACAGGACGGATTAGCGCCCAGTTTTGGGGTTGCAACAGCTGCGGGCGGCCCCTTAGGGGTTTGGAGGTGTTGGGATGCCGGGCTTCAGGGTAAAATTAGCTTGATGTGTTGAAGTCTGTGGTCGGAGAGGGGGGGGGTTTGGAGCTTTGGGGAATGCCCGGGTCGGAACCCCAAACCCTTTCCTGATACTTGATATTTAGATCTTTCGGTGTGTTTTCGTGTGTGCTGGTTGGGGGCTGGGAGCTTTGCATGCTTTGTCCATATTTAGAATTCCTTGAGCCCCCAATATTTTTGGAGAGAGACATGTGCTCTTACGAAGTCTGGCAGCGGGTTCCGTCTGTTTTAGTTCCGATGAGCAGTAGACCAGGCAGATGCTTTAGAAAGTGTGGCCAAAACCGCCGTCTGCCTGAATATTTGTCAGCTATCTGTCTGTCTTGTGATCGCGTCTCGTAATGTTAACACCGATGTGAAAACTGGAGGCCCTAAACCCTAAACCCTTGGGCCGACATTGTTTCATTTTAAGTCGGCTGTGACAAGGAAGCTGTCAGCCGACTGAAACTGATACTGCCAGTGCTGCTTGCAGTACTACGGTTTAGGGTTTTAGGGTTTAGGGTTTCTGTCAGTGTCACCATTACCGCCAGTTAGTTACTACTTCCTTTTCCTCCTGGACGAACTAGACGTAGTACTGCCAGTGACCACTCCCTAGGCCTCCAATCTGCTCAGTTTCGGGATGCTGGCTTGACGTTGTCCTGTAGGAGGAACGCGTCAGAAGGTCTCATATCACTCCAAAATATAGATGGTCTATCTGCGTTACAAGCCGTAATTTGTCTCCAGAGAGTTATGATGAGGCTTGAAGCCTTGGGCCTCAGGCCTTGCCTCAGGTTCAGGGTTGAGAGTTGAGAGTTTGTCAAGGGCTTCGGGTTCAAAGTTCAAACATCCTAAACCCTAAACCCTAAACCCTAAACCCTAAACCCTAAACCCTAAACCGGATGTTTGAACCTACAGAGTGATGACTCCCTCGGCCTGCACGCGTAGTAGGTTGCCCGCGCTGTGTCTTGCGATCCGACAGGACGGTCTACAAACTCATCGTGAGAAGGCGCGCGGTGCTCCTAAACAAGAAGCCTCACTGGCAATGTTGCTTGCCCCTTGTGGAATCCCGAAAGGGCATCGTATCATAGCACAAGGTAGTTCACGGCGTAATTTAACTTTTGCACATAAGAACCCAAGGTAGTGAAGCTTCCAGAAGCCCGAAGCCATGAGTTGTCATGCCAAGTCCTTCATAGCCGGCCCTGCTAAGTTCGGGTGCAGGCTTGCAGGCGTTTGGGTCGAAGGATTCAGGGCTTGAGATTCTTTGTGTGCCTTGCTTGTAGTGCTATCAAGCGTGCGAGCTGTTTGGTTCGAATCGCATGTGGGGACTCCGGAAGGATCCAAGATATGACGAAACAAGGGCCTATAGGGTTTTTGGCAGATGATCTTCGGAGTGTCCGACACATGCTCGAGGCAGTCTGACTTCCAGGCAGCCTTATTGTGCTGTCCCCAGCTGATCACACCGGCGTCCTGGGCGCTTGCCCTATAGAGGGGGAGAGACTTCGTTGTCCGACCCTAAACCCTAAACCCTAAACCCTAAACCCTAAACCCTAAACCCTAAACCGCCCTGCCACAGGTTTTGATGTGAAATGGGTCTTTCATCTTCTTCTGGTTGCTAGGAAAGAGAGGTATTTGAGTGCACCCGACTCGCTAATCGCTAATCCCTACCTCTCGTCGCTGTAGCCCAAGATAGTGAACTAAACTAACCAGCTAGCTAACTAGCTGACTAATTAACAAGGTATCTATCTATCTACGTATCGATCTATCTATCTACCTATATCTTTGGAAACCAAAACAAGGAACCTAACAAAGTAGGTGTTTCGGTTACAGGTAAGACGTGCATCAGAAATCAATGATCGAGCTTTGGCTTTCCAGACAGTAATTAGAAGCAAAGTTTACACGATGTTATGATTTAGGGTTTAGGGCTTAGGGTTTGGGGTTTGGGGTTTAGGGTTTTTAGGGTTTAGGGTTTGGGGTTATGATGTTACGAAACCCGAACGATGATGATGAATATGATCGTAATGCCAATACAAGTAGTAACTAGAGTTAGAGTCGTAACTATTGTCAGCATCACTGGGCAGGCCGGGGCACGCTTAGACACGCAACGTTCGCCACACTCAAATGCAACAGCTGTTCTAATTATTAAGGCCCCTACATTAGCCTCAAGCAAGCTGGCTTTCTAAGTTGATGCCTAAGGATTGAGTGCGCTATGGAGCTGTCCCTAAACACGGAAGTGCCAAACCAGGCCAGTGCCGTCGACATTTTCGGCTCGACGAGGGTGAACAAGCACCATGAACGATGAGGAGCCGATACAAGACTAGAACTGACACTATCGGAGCTCTATCAGAGCCAGTGCAGCAGACGTCTTGCAGCACCGCTCAAGAAAGCTGGGCTCAAAGTGTACCAAAGTGCAAAGCAACATCCCAGGTGGTGAAGTCCTTGCGCTCAGGGTTGCATTGGCTAGTCGAGTCAATCGTTGTGATGGACTCTCATCAGGCCTCCTTCCCATGCAAAAGAAACGAAGGTCATCTTAGCATAACGTAGTGGTGCCCGCCGTCGAGATGTCGCGACTGGGTTGCCTTGACGCCTGACAGCGCCATCTTGGCAATCAGCCGTGTTTTGTAAGTATGCAAGAAGCAGCTTCCAGCCGTCCTACTTGCTAGATGTTTTTTATCCACTTCGTATGATCTTCTGTGACCAACACCCCGAAGTTCATAGCATGGCGCCAACAATGCTCCAAGCATGCCTTGTATACACAGCCTTACCGTCCCACTTTATACGATCAGCTCCGTAACTCCGTAGTTGCATCCATAAGAACTCTCTATTATGGCTTTCTATAGTTTACCATCGTTGAGCTATAACTTACTATAGTACGTTATTACAGCGACATAGCCCACAAGCATGTGGCCATGCTGCTTTCTTGAACAGGACCCAGTCCAAAAACCGTACTTCTGGCGGTGGCTTGCAAACCTGAAAGCCTAAACCCTAAAATCCCAAAGTCTAAGACCTAATCCCCAAACCCAAGAAGCCTTAAGCCCTGAGGCAGACGAGGAGAAAGGTGCGATGCCGCGCGAGATCATCACATTGCAGGCCTCTGCAAGCTTCCACACACCGGGCCGCAGAGCTCTTAGAACAGGGGCCTTCACAGTTAGAATCGGGTTCTTTTGAGGTCACTATAAGGGGTAGGCGATTAGTATAGGGGCCCTAACAGTTTGCATGGGGCTTTGGGGAATCTTGGACCATAACTTTAACAAGGATCCCTCATGAGGAATTGTGTTATTAGTCAGATTGGGCATTCCGACAGCTATCTATTCTATCCATGTACCCGTTTATCTATCTACCTATCTATCCATATATATCCGTCTCTTTCGCTCTCTATAGATAAAATAGAACAAAATTATCTCAGCAACAGACCCCA